GTGATGTCTATACAGTATACACGGTAAATGTTCAGACTTTCACTCAATGGCAACCGAAATGAAAAAAAAACCAAATGAGATTCTGTGTGTACGGTTACACCGCACCGCCGACAGATCATCAGTCCGACGAAAAAGCAATGAAATTTTTGGGTCTGCAAACACACACACATACACAAACACGCGCGCATAAGTATATTTGTACAAAAATATCGTATTATACAAAGGGCCTCTGCAAACGGGAATGAATACGAAACACAACGGATCGAAACTGTTTGAATTCGAAAATGGGAAAAAACCCTTCGAACAATATAAAGTTCCTTTTTTTCATACGAAATACGGTAGGAAAAACTGTCGGTCGATCCGTAGCAGAGCAACCGACAATGCAACAACAAATGCATTTGCGAGCATTACAAGCAATAAACATGAGGGTATCCACCCTAAGTTCATGTGCATGCGCAATGAACATTTTGTCGGCATCGACGGCACGATTCAATAAAATCCCATTCGCTTTTATATTAAAACATTGTGTGTATGATTTTATTCAATGCTGTTATATGCAGTGACGATGCTCGTCCAAATTAGTGAAATGAAAATTGGAAAATATTCAAAAGACACACACACACACATTCGGAGCAAATACAGACATTTTGAGTATTCATTCAGTTTGTATAGTCGTGTGTGCATACACTTTTTTATGGCATTATTTTTTGACTGGGGTTGATGGTTGATCTAACGACTCGAATCAATTTGTCTGCTATTGCCTTGTTTCAACTTCAAATGTATCTCGCTTATTTTTCGATTCATTAAAGTATTTGTTTTTGTTTTAATTCTTCTCGTTGTATTTTGAATCGCATCCAATTCGTGCTGTCAACGAGTCGACGGATCGAAACAACAAGAAACCGATTCGAATGAATGCATCTAGAGCGAGAGATGTAAAAAAAATATGTATATGCAATATTGATAGCAACATATCAGAAAAATGCGATTCGATGCTGCTGCCAAAAAGGCGATGGTTCACAAACGATGATGAATGCGCTTTTGTTCGTGCGCGACATTTTCTTGTTGGAATGAGAAAAGAATGAGAAAAACCCATAAAATCTGTCTGAGTGTTTTTGATTGAAGGTTTCCCATGGAAAAACAAAGAATTCGCTTGCACTCACACATGTGCAATGGCATTGCATACACGATAGTGGCGTACACATATACGACACATCGAATGTCTGGTGTTTATACATCGAATAAGAAAATTGGATTGGAATCACTAAACAAACGTTCACGCCGGGGCAAATATGCCAAAGACTCTGAGTTTGATTTTCATGTTCAAACATTTTTCGTTCCCGCGCGAACGACTGTATCCATTTGTCTTGTGTTTTTGTCATGTTTATTTTGTTTGTTTTTTTTTTCGCTTTGTCGTGTTCGCATAGCATCTCAGCTGTGGCGCAGACTTCAACGTTCAACTCTTCCGTCGTTTGAAGGCGAATCGCACAAAGTTTGAATAATGCCGCCACAGAGACGAAATGCTTTTTACTTCTCTGTTTTTATCTAAAATGTGACAATTGAGAATTACGTGCAAAAACTGAAAATGTTCACTGTCTTTCTTAAAATTCAATCACATTGTGACTATGCAAAAGCCGGATTGTCTAATGTAATTGTGTTTTACATGTTTCTCCAATTTCAAATTTTGTTGTTCTTGTGGCCAAATAATACGGCTCGCGTTGTGTTCAAGCGTGTTTCGAATTTGTCGACGGAAGAAGCATATTATGCATGTCTACTTCTTTCTCAATCTCAATTCCTGGATTGAACTTTTCGTAGTAGACTGTGTGCCATTGTCAATCCAATCACGCTAAACGATAATTGCTCGAAAATCTTATGTGATTATCTCGCATTCTTGATCGGTATAGTGCGCCAACACTATACAATAAATTAACTCTTTGAGATAGTATACTACTACCTCACAATAAAATCCAATTTAAAGCTAAACACCAAAGTCGACGAAAATGCCTTAAGACATTCAACCAAATTAATGGGCAACAATGAAACAATACACATCAACTTGGTTTCGGCTTTACTATGCACTTTAATGTGCTTTTCTGTTTTAAAAACATTTCTTTTTTCTTTGTTGTTTTTTTATGAGAGTGTTCCCTGTGAAATGCTATTAAGATGCTATTTTAGTTTTTTCCTTCCTAAAACGTGCATTATCACATGCTTTCACCGTTATCATTACCTTTATTATTATTGTTGTGGTGTAAGAAAATCTTTTTTGCCAAATCGATTGGCACGGTAAACAGCTATTCGCACAACAAAGAGCCATGCGATATTTTGGCACCGCACACACACACACTCACCGAAACGAGAAGATAACAATATCACGTCATTACAGCGAGCAAAGAAGCTGCAATTTTTCAATGGTTACTCCTTAAATGCGGCACAGCACATGTATTAAATTTCCAAGCGGGAAAATATCAGCGCTGCAACAAAAGAGTTGCATGTTTTTGGCTGTTTTTTTTTTTTGTTTGTAAAGAAAGAAGAAAAGAAATGTACAAACGACGTACTCGAAGCGCAATCAACTGCAAATAACCGACATACAGTCTTTCCACTTTGTAGTTGAGAGAGGCGAAGAATTCTAATTGTATTTATTGGATGCAAGAGATCTCGTGCCATCATAAAAACATCAACAAATGAAAGAAATAATTCTAGCTCAGAAAGTTCAGCGCTTTAAAAAAAACGAACGACTGTCTGTTTTATTCTTATTGTAAATGTGATGTAAGCAAAATAAATACCGAAATACCAACCCGTAATATTTATTATACACACATATATACCGATGAAGATGATTCAGACAAATAATAAGCACATACACAAAAAGAAAAAAAAAGAGAAAAGAAATGACCATCGAATGAGATTTGATTTTTCTTGTGCATTCTTTCTGTTTTGCTGTGCTTTGTTCAGAATGTCAGTCCCGACAGTGTTAATGAATGCGTTCGTTACATAGTCTTCAATCAATCTTTCTTGTGACCGCATTCAGTTCGACAGAATTCTATAAATGGATTTTTTTTTCTGTGTGTTTTTTGATGATTGTCGTTACGGGAAATGAGCTAAATTATGCTCAATTTGGATATGAACAAAAAAATGAATGTCGAAAGAAAGAATTCCTCACCCGAATTGCGCATATAATTTCAATAATAATCAACGTCGAATAGGAATAAGGAACCACATCCTTCTCATCGTCATTTCGCTCTGTCGGATAGCCGTCCACTCCAAATTTCACTTCATTAATTTGAAACCGTTGAACGAAAAACCAATTCATGCTATACGCACATAGCAGGCCACCGAAATAAACATACATACGAAAAACGTGCTACAATCGATTGACAAAAGAGTGCGCTATATGTATACACCGTATTTTTAGTGGATTTTGGCGCGACTGTACCTTATTTCAGTTTTCGTTACTCATACACAGGCGCGCTCGTCCGTGTGCCTTTCTGTGTTACACACACAGTCGCAGTGATGTGCATGTGTGTGTACGGGCTTATATAAAAACCGTTCTATGTATATACATAGTAATAAAAACACCGGGTATTCGGTCTCTCATTTTTCTCTGCAGCCATCTGTGTGTACATGGGGTTTCGATGAATGTTAGGACCAAGAGCTGAGAGTGTGCAAAGGAATAAAACGTTTGAAATATCTCAGATCCTTTCCTGCCACTCTCTTTGCTCGTTTCTTTCTTTCAACAAACATGTACCCAACACATGCACACACATACGCTCCTATCACGTTTTTGAGCAGAACATTTTTTTTTCTTCTTTTTTCGTTTCGTCGGTTGGAATGAATGCAATAACTCATCCAAAATGCAGAGAGCGAGCATTGCCGGGTTCATTTTTATTTTCGTTGTGAAGAGAGGAAGAGCGCAATAAAGAAAAAAAAAATTGAATGTGAAGCAAACATTTACTACCAGCATGAAATGTGCTTATCATCTTCACTGGAACGCAAAGACATGCAATCGTTTGCAGCCATGTGTACTTCAACATTTATACAGTTCAGAGTAAAAATAACAGAGACATTTTTGGCGGGATTAAAAAACCATTCGAAAAATACTCATTCTTATTGTAATATTTTCCATTTGAATATGAACACACCGTGTACACACACACCACATGCACACAGAGTATATTCGTATGGAGCAATTTAACTTAGTTGGCAATGCGTTACAAATCACATGCTAATAATATGTTTTAAACACTTTTAGTTTCGCTTTTGTAAAATTTCTAAGGATTCGTCTGTTCGTATTATTTACGGCCGCTTTCTTACTGTGTTTAATGACTCTTTTGAAAGTTTCGTCATTTTTTCTTCGCCATTTACTCATTTCCTTTTTACCAAAATCGTCGCATTCCTAGAAATTACAGTCTATTTTTTCAGTTGCAAAAAATATTCGTTTTTTTTCCAAATGTAAACGTTTCAAAGGAGTTTACGGTAAAATAAATGCTTATTATAATGTCTTTTGCTTTTTGTAGCCGTTTGTAGTTGGGGAAATTGTTATGTTCATAAATGACCATACGTGAACTGCATTCAATTGAGTAAGCTTCGACTTTCGTACATGTTAATTTTGAATGTTTATCGATTTCGTCTGGCTTCCCCTTTTGTCTGATTTACTTTTTATTGATTTTTGGCTATTGTTTCAAGCAGAAAAAAGGCATGAATATATTTATACATGCATTGAACATGTGCAATGTATTTAACTTTGGCTTTCGATAGGAAATTAATGTGGTAATTGTTGAAGAGTGCAAAAGAGAAAAAAATTGAAATGAATAAATGATTTACACATGTTTCATTTTTTATGAGCTAAATGCATGTTACTGCCCTCAGGCCGTAACAAAAATATGTATAATGAAATATAATGTTGCTATTTTTTATCAAACATGTAAACCAAATATGTTGATGGAAATTTTAATTAAAAAATCACTAATAATTTTTTTTTTTCGATTTCTTTGGTGTGAATACAGGATTCTTCATGTCCAATTCTGGACCTTTACATTTCGGATTCAATGCAGGATATGCTCGACATTGATATTCGAACTGAAGTAGCGACAGTGGTTGGTGGTGCGAGTGAGTTTTCATCGTTGATGAGTGAATTGCCAACACTTGATTTGGAAACATCGAATGATGGCGATGCACCGTGGTTGGGTGGCCCAAAATGGTCATCAACATCATCATCACATGACATGTATGCGGATGTTGGAGCCTGTGTAAATCCAAATTCGGTAATGCCAGTCATAAACAATATATCAGCTGGTTTATCATCGCGAACACTTACAACGGATGTGCTTAATTCACCGAATAAATCACAACTGGATCTCAATACGAACACGTTCAAGCGAAGCAGCTCACCGTTGCCCAGTCCGAAGGAGAAGAAGAGCCATTTAACATTTTCGCCGAACATAATTAAAGTGCCGGTGGTGCAAGAAAACAAGAAGCAATCGCTATTGTGTCAGGCACAACGCACCAGTGTCGAGGCTATTAAAAAAGATCTCAGCAGTGAAATTATGAAGGATGAAAAAATCTTTACGCAATTCAAACCGACCATTACATCGGGAACGCCATCAACGCCGGCCAATACAATCAAATTGGCACCGGGCATTGGCGGCCTAACATTTGCAAATAGTCTTGCATTTACCAAGTTGAAAAATAATAGCAATGCAAAAATTGTCACCACCAATGGCAATGTGATTACAACCGCTCATCAGCTCAAAAACCAACAAATCCATCGATCGTCTAGTCCAAATGTTCATTCATCCAACAATAATATAACGATCATTAATAACAACAACAATGAAAACAATACGTTCCAACGAAAAATCATTGCTAGTGATGACACAAAAATCACATCCGACGGATTTAAATTTGTTGTGCAAAATGGCAAAGGCACCATAATTGCAACAACATCCCATCCAAATGCAATGACAACATCGGTGAATACAACGACATTTTCCACCATGCAACAGCATGCTATTGCAAATGGCACGGCTCTAAAGCCACAACCGCTTAAAATGAAAGTGGTCGGACCCGAATTCCCGAAACCAGCATACTCATATTCATGCTTGATTGCGATGGCATTGAAAAATTCAAGAGCCGGATCGTTGCCCGTATCGGAAATCTACAGTTTCATGTGCGAACATTTTCCGTACTTTAAGACAGCGCCAAATGGTTGGAAAAATAGCGTACGACACAATTTATCGTTGAACAAATGTTTTGAAAAAATTGAAAAGCCAGCCACAAATGGTGGCCAACGCAAAGGATGCTTGTGGGCAATGAATCCATCGAAAATTGCAAAAATGGACGAAGAAGTTCAAAAATGGTCACGCAAAGATCCGATGGCCATACGTAAGGCCATGGTTATTCCAGAGAATTTGCCGGCTTTGGAACGTGGCGAAATGAAACATGGAAGCTTGAATGATAGTGACGTTGAACCAGACGACACCGAAGATTCGGAACCAGAAAATGAACTGGACGAGTCCATCATTAACAACATTGTACCTGAAGTCGACTCATGCGACGAAGAAAACAGTCAAACCGAATACGATGTTGATGTAAGTAACCACACCAATCCTTTAAACACAGTGATAAGAATCTTATGTTATTTTCAACTTTTGAATGCATTGTTTCCTATTATTCAAATTAAATAACCAGTTCTTTGTTTTGCTTTTGTTTTTCCGAATAGGTATCCGATATGTTTGACGAGGTTGACATTGAAGATTCGAAATCCATTCAATTTGCATTGAACGCTGAAAATGGTCAAACCGAATTCTTCGAAAGTGAAGTACAACCGTCGGCCAAACGGGCCCGACTTGATATCAACTGTTCAATCGCACCAGCACGAACATTCAGCATTGCAAACAATGTAAATGGTACTACACAACTGATCCAAAAGACGTCATACGCTGGCCCAATGCAACATCAACTATTGCAACAGCAACAAAATCGACGAAAGGTTATGTTGGTCAACCGAACAGCGTAAATATGCTCTGCAATGACATATGTGAGGGATAATTTACATAAAACGCATTGTAAAAACAAAAAACAATTTATTTGATTCTACTTAAGTTAAGATTTATTGTGATTTTGGTCTTGGCTTTGTGCATTCGACGCAATGGAAATGGATGCGAATCGATGCACCAAGATGAGACCTTTACTTTTTGGTGAAATTCTGTAAAAATCATGTTTTTTATGATTTCATTCTAATACACCTAACAAACCACAATATGAATACAGTTCAAATTCAATTTTTTCTATGAACTTTTTTTTTATTATGTTTAGTTTAAAAATTATTATTTCTTTTTTAATTTTTAGTTTTTTTATTTTTCATTTCCATACAAACACACACACACACACATTATATCCACGAAATAATCCAATTTTGTATTAAAATTTAAGATTTAGGATATGTTTTCGTACGACTTAGTTTCATTTCTGTAAATGCATTTAGTTCTTTTTTTTTGAATATATTTTTTTTTGTAAATTGAACTCATTCAGTTACGGGCTAATGTGAAGAGAATACACATTGAAATTGTAATAATGCGCAATATCATCTGGCATAATTGAATTTCCAAACAAAAGAAAAAGAGAACCGAATGAAAGGGAAACAGGAAACAATGAAAAATTATGAAATGAAGAAGATTAGATGTTAATGAACATTTCTATTTTGTCATAAAATATAGTATTTTTTGTACGTTAAAGTGAAATAACCTAAATATCTGTTTGTGTAAAGTTCACAAAAAAACCAACAAAATGAAGAAGAAAACCTTCAATTGAATAAGTTCATTCATTTTTTTTTTAATAAAATAATATTGTATTTCCCTCTGATTGAAAAGATTTATTCAAATAAAATGAAACATTTAGAAAAGGAAAATCTGTGAAAATAGTTTTGAAACGAACAATTCATTCAACGAAAAAAATAGGCAAATCTTTTTTGTTTTTCTTAAAAAAATGAAGTTTTTTGCCAAGATTTTGAAGTTTTGATATTAAATGTGAAATAATTTTATGTGACGCAGTTTGTGTTCGATTTACTAATATTTGATTTTCAAAACTTCCGACTCTTGCTTGTTTTAAATCTTTTTTTTTTGTTTCACACCATAAAATGGTCATCTACTACTACTGCCAGCAACTCAGAAAGAACGATAGCACAACATATTTATTTCTTCAGCGTTTAAATATTTGTAGTGCATCAATCCAAGTTGCACAGTTAATTAAGTCGAAATATCAATCCAATAGCATTTATATAGAAAAAAATCAATTCGGTTGAATATAGGAAACATTTAGTATCGATTCTTATTAACCCCATTCATTGGAAAAATTCGAAATACAAGTCGTTGTCCCATAAAGACACGCTCATCGAAATTAGTAACATTCTTTTTTCATTCGAAAAAAAAATTAAACATAGCTTCAATTAAACCAATTTTCTTTATGAAAAAATCGTAGTTTTTACTTAATAAATTCGACATATTGAAAAAAATAGAAAAAAAAAATTCAAATACGTTTGTATGAACAAAATTTTCGATCTCGATCAATTTTGGAATAAATATATGTAAAAGTAAATCCAAACCATGCAATCATACAACAATTACATGGGCTCATCATATAAAATCACATTACTCAAACCTTAGTATTACTTAAACATGTTTTTATATGGAAGCATAATGTCAAATTAAAAGTTTATTATATTATTATAAAAACTAGTCATACTGAATTGCCGTTTTTTTTAAATGAAAGAAAATATAACTGACTTAATACCGAAATTCAAATTGTCAAAAACATAGCGAGGAAAAAATGTCCACTTCCATCACTAAATCAGGAAAAATAAAATAAAACATTATATTTGCCACAAATTACAAGCAAAACAAACAAAATTTACGTTGACTTCGATAAATTTGATGAATTTTTTTTTAAATAAGTACTATTTAGAATATTCGTATATGAAAATGATGAACACATATAAGACATTTTATACTATTATTAAATACAAACGATATAAAAAACAAATACCTCATAAAAATGAGTTTTCATCAGTAGAAAGTCAACACAGACAGTTCTTTGCCGATACAGTATTTTTTATCTATTTCGGATATAGTAACTAGCCTCATGATTTCTATTAAGTGCAAAGAAGCATGAACGTTTGACACATACACACACACATTTCAGGTATTTGCCGTCGTAACTATTTCTCTGTATATAGATTATAAACATTGAATTAAAATGACGGCCAACAATAACAGCAAACTCAACTATATATTTTAATATTCATCATTATTTTTGCTCACATCTTTCATTTTGAAAATAGTACAAACAAAAAATGAATAATAACAAGAACAACACTTAACATAATTTTATATGCATTAATCATTCATTCTTAGCGACTTTATCCGCATTTTTTTCTTTAGTTTAAACACATAACAATTAAACTATGAATTAAAATAATCTTTGTAATTAAACATTTTTGTATATGTTAAAATTTAAAGAAAAAAAAAATGCAAAAAAATTATGACAAAAAAAATATTACGAAAATACACTAATATTCATTTCTTCAGCAATGCTGTTGTATTTAACCACCTTCTATATATTGATTGTGCATTCTTATAAACAAAAAATACAAAAAAAGTTTAAAATTATGAAAATTAAGTAAAACATTTTGAATTTGTAGCAAGTAAACATGGTGCGAGAGTTAAGAGAAAGTGTATTGAAGATGTGGAACGAAAAGGGGCTAAGACTGGCAAAATGAGTTGGATTTTGTATATTTTTTTAGACTAGACAAAAAAGAAGATGAAAAAAAATTATAAAATCATGCTTTGTTTTTTATACATTTAGAAGATGAAGAAAATAATAAGTGACACAGATTGATACTCTTAACACTTAAACCACACGAAACATATACGTTTTTATACAGAGATTAAATTTGTAAATTGTGAATTATTTCAGGATATGTAAACAAAAATAGAACTACACAGTTTTACATTTTGTATTTGAATGAAAAACGAAATGAAATAATTAATAACGAAGAATAAAATTGAGACATTTTTTGTGATTCACAATTGTGCGTTTTATTTCAGTTTTACTTGATGTTTTTTTAGCCATATTTTTAGAACTACTTTGTATTCCATATATTAAAAAAGCAAAAGGTAAGGAGTTTCGGCTACCCAATTGATGGTTTGTTTTGAACGATTTTTTCCCTTGTTTAATGGTCTCAAACTCTGTTTTAGGTTTTTTGATGAATCACATGATCTTAAACGTATAAATTTGAATAAAAAATGTCAACATTTTAGTTAAAATACATCGAGCAACGCCAACTGTTGGTTAAATTGTAAATTAATAATCACTACCTAATGGAATTGGTAATATTTCTATTGGTGGTTTTACATTAAACTTAAGATATTGGTAGCTGTCATCATGATATTTGACATCGAATTGAGTTGCGTGATTCAGTTTAACCCTCTAGTGTATATGATCCATACCCCAATCTGTACAAGATGTGTACTTTCCTGTACACAAAAAAAAAATCAACGAAGGGCCAAATTTCCAGCAGGGTTCAGTCAGTATTTCATTTGCCGGTCACTTGACAAGCGTATGTTATGCGGTTGTTTGATTATAAACACAGACGTACGCGAAAACAGAAATTTGACAAAAAAAAAATGATCAAACCCTTTGTTTATAACACTTCAAGCATTTTGAAAATAGCATTTTTTGAGTAAACTATGGGATTTTTTGCATTTCGATTATTTTTTTAAAAGAATTATAAACGAAAATAATCATAGAAAAATAACTCTCATGTCGAAAAAAATTAATGCATTAGAGGGTTAATACACACAGAGAAGTAATACAACGAAAACTAGATTAAAGAAGATTCGCATAAAAGAGAATACACAAAAACGATATTTTGTATGAAATTAGATGGAAAAATACAATTTTATTCGGAGTGTCAACTAGTTCCGAATTTTATACGACAAACCATCTATTTTTCATTGTATAATTTCTTTGTGTGTATGAAAATTACGAATTATATCTAACATAAATAGTAGACTATCCGTTTAAACCAATTAAAGCAGTATAACCAGTTAACTGTCATTTTACGCATGCTAAATAAAATTCAATTTTAAAACAAAAAAATCTCCATCTTTTAATAACTGTGCTCTTTTTCGTGTGTTTCTTCAGTTAGCGATTGCGTTTACTCGCATTGTTGTTTGAAAAATAAAATAAAAAAGGTGGATTAGGTTGAATATGGTAATATGAAAATTATAATTTGTGCACAGGCACACTGTTGGAACTGAATAGTAACTTAATTTTTTTTTATTTGTTTTCCAAAGAATTTCAAGTGTTTCTTGGTGATAGCAATTTGTATAACCATTACAAATGGTTATAAAATTTTGTTCCTGGCTCCATTTGTTTGGAAAAGTCACTTTCTTTTCATGTCAGAATTTGTGAAAACTCTGGTAGATCGGCAGCATGAAGTTACATATTTGACTAGTAACTCATTAAAACATTTAAATTTACCCAATTATACTGAAGTATTGATCGAACCACCATTCGATATGGAATCAATTGGTGAGCAAATATTTCAAACTTCAAAAAAAAAAAAAAAAAATCAAGAATTTAAAATATGATTTGAATGAATAAATTGCAGGAAGTCAAGAAAAGTGGTTAGAGATGGCTGGTAGTTCGACATTTATGCGAATTAATTCCTTTAACTTTCTCTCAAAATCATGGACCACGCATGCTTTCTCGAATTTAAACGTACAAAAGTTAATTCACAGCACTGGTTTGCACTTTGATTTGATAATCAATGAAGAATGGTGGGCAGATAGCTTTTTGATGTTTGCACATAAATTTAAAGCGCCCATCATTACAATTTGTGAGTTTTAATTTGATACTTTGCTGTTTCCCTTTTTATCCATTTAATACATATTATTTAGGTCCGGTTGGGATTCCAGATTTCATCGATCGGCAACAAGGATTATTCACTCCATTGAGTATTGTTCCGCATTGGGTAAAATTTAAAATTTACCGAAAATTTTGAAAATTGGAATTTAATATTTGCTTCGATCCAATTTAATATCTTTTTCCTTACTTTTAGGCGCTACCATTTTCAGATAATATGTCATTTTATGAAAGATGGTTCAATGCCATTCTCAGCACGTATGATTGGGCAGTGCGAGAATTTTCATATCTTCCAACAGCAGAAGAGCACACAAGAAAGTACTTCGCTCATTTGGCACCTTTGCCATCGTTGAATGACATCTTACGTAATGTGTCCATGGTTTTGGTCAACACACATCGAGCTCTTTCACCTCCCCGACCATCAATGCCAAGTATATTTTAAAATTGATTTTTTCGCAAGAGCAAACGTATTTTTATTTGTTAATTTCATCAGATGTGGTCAACATTGGTGGTGCTCACATAAAACCAAGCAAACTATTACCAGAAGACATCCAAAAGTTCATAGACGAAGCAAAACATGGTGTTATTTATTTGAATGGTTAAGAATAATAATGAAACTTAATTTTGGTTCAAACTGGAGTGTCCCGCAGAATTATTTCAAATGAAAGTGTCCCGAATATTTGTTTCAAACTAAAATGTCCCTACAAAAAAGATTCATGTAAATTTTCCTAAGTGCCATTTTCATTTGCAATAAATTTGAGGGACACTACGATTGTAAACTTTTTCTTGAGTCCTATTCATAAGAAATTTTTTCGGGGGACACTTTGAGAAAAAGTTTTTTTGACATTTCAATCATAATTATATGTACTATATGTATGAGAATTTAGAAAAAATCTGTTCA